AAGATGCTGGATGACCTTGGGGACAGAAGAGGATACTGTCATTTGAAGGAGAAAACTCTAGATCGCATTAAATGGAGGAACTGTTTTGGAAGAGACTGTGGACCTGTCGTCTTGACAGATTACTGATGATGATGATCACTAGTTATGCTTTCACTTTCACTTGTATTCAGTCACTTCCTACTTATGTATTGATTAAACGTTCATGAATTAAAGTTCAATTTATTATAGATCGCACATTTTCACTTTTGGAGGTCTTGCTGTTCTACTGCGTCTTCTGAAGTGACTGAATACAAGTGAAAGTGATAGCATAACTAGTGATCTGAATTGAAATTTGATTCACAAACTTTAATTTTTAAAAAATTTAAATTTTAACTTTTGACATTTAGAACAATTTTAACTTGTGTTTTATGAGAGAGCTTGATATATTATTGAGCGTGAGCCTGAATAAGATACAGGATCGAATAAGTGAGAAGACGAATGCGATTGCATGTAATTATACAGCTGTGTTCGTACACCTGAGGATGACCTCTTGAGGTCGAAACATGTAGTGTAATAATAATAAAAATATGTTGTGTGGTCCGTAAAATTGACTCTAATATTGATTAAATACACAACAGGATGCAAGAAACAAAGTTAGAATCAAATATACCCACAAATGTATCCTCATGTAAGTGTTAATTCAAATTGTCCATTTTGACAGAAGTTATATTTGATCAATAAATTATAGAAAGAACACAAAATATAAAACAATAAAACTCGATTATCAAGCCTGGTGTTACTACAGAAGTAGAGGACAAAAATAACATGTACTTGCAATGTTGTGAAGTCATCACCATCCTTCACAACATGACCTCATTTATCTCGTAGAGAACAGAATATTTTCAGCATTCACAGGCTCTCTTAAGATCTTTTATGAGGAAAGCCAATGAAAAAAACACATTTCACATTACATGACCTTAATGCAAAGAAAATTAACACGGTACATCTGGTAGCAGTTCATTTCTTTTAAAAATGTCAAGGAAGTCAGTAACATTCTTTCCAAGTGACAAAAAATATTCTCTAAACCTCTTTCATGAATATAAGGCATTCACTTAGAAACACGTTTCCTTTCTCACATTATACAGAACTGATTAGTTTTGATGTGAAATACCCAGTAGAATAAGTTTTGTAAACCATTTCTAAATCAGTGAACAAATTCTTAAGGTACAGAATGTTTTTTCAACTGGCTGCATCTTGTTTAGTTGTTACATTTCACATAATACACCTGCAGCTTAACAGAATGTTAACATTTCTGTGCAAATCAGAACCAGTTTTTATAAATGTGTGACTACTTACATTCCTCTTACTGTTGATATTTGGAATGATTATTGCAGGGATGATACTGGTGATTATGTAATTGTTCTTATAGTAACATCCAGAACCACTTAATATTCCAGGAGTTAACAAAGAAACAATTTGTTGTATAAGACACATTTTTGGTTTCACTTTCTTTGCACTCCAAATACCAAAAAGGATGATTATCTAAAGAATTAACCTATGATTTTCATCCAGGAAACACCTGAAATTAGATTTATGCCATTCTAAAAATAACCATACAAAACAAGAATTCAGCTGACTAAAACTGCAGTGGCATGTATCTCATAAAGGCCATGGTAGTGTTACTGGAGTGAAAGAGAATGACTGACATCTCTTCTTATTAGTAACTTCTGGTGTAAATTTAGCACCAGGCAGTAAAGGTTCATCATCCCTGGATTATGACATTAAAGACAACATTAGTATTGTCTTACATTATCTTGTTCTAAATCAACACATCACCTTAAGAACACTGCAAGAAGACATAAGTACTTATTTCAAGTTCATCTTTTGAAAATGTGTTTACTGTTCAGCCTGACTATAACAAATGTTGAAAGACAACTACACTAGCCATCTAAGGTACCCCCTTCTCTGTGGTCCAGCAGTCACTTGACCCTCTTCTGTTGTCTCTGTCTGTAAATATCATTTACAGGTGGTGCACCTGAAAGTTCATCATCTTCACTGTCCTCTATTCCCACCACTAATCGATCTCCTGTTCCCAATTTCCGTCTTCTCTTTGTTCCACTTCCTGGCAGACTCAGTGTACCTTCTTGGCCTTCATCTACTATCCAATGTACAGACTTGGCAAGATCGAAAAGCTTTGTATCACACCCATTGTCTGCTGTCGGTGATGGAGCTGTAAATTTTTACCATTTAAGAACATACATCATTTAGGTAAATATATCAAGTTTCATATGCAATAGTTTGTTACCATATTCATAAATTTAAGTAAACTAGAATTCAATGGGAGGTCTCAGCATTTGTTATACATGCTTTTGTATTATTATCTTCCACTGCTTTCTCCCATATTCCTTTCCAGTCTTATATGTAATCAAATGATGTGTGACAATCAACATTTGATGCCATCTCCCATGAACTACATGCAAAAATAGTCAACCTTAAACTGTCTCTTTTATACATATAGTATACTGCACTTCACATATCCTCATCAAAATATTATCCATACTCACAGAATAGACATATGAGACAATGAAATGAAGGACTGCAAGCTCATTCATTGTCTACTACAGAACTTACACCCATGGAATGTGTTAATGCTAGAGTAACTTCAAATTCCAGAATGACAGTGATAAATATCACACCAACAGAACTCTTTTACATATACAGAAAGATATATCAAAAAGTTTCAGACAAGTAGCTCTAAACTTTTCAGATACCAGCACATTACCACTGTCATTACTGGAGTCATGCACTGCAGAATGTTTATTACATGGTTCAATAAAATTTAGCTCTATGCTAAGAAAACTGGAGAACATCTGATAAAGAAATTAGGCTGGAACCAATGAGATTAAATTAAGGTCAATTTGAATGCACATTTCAGTGACCATAATGTTTATATTTTACAAAAATACTTTTACCAACCTTGTACATAAGATGGTTATGTTTCTCAAAACAGTAAAAAATAATTTCACAAACATCAAAATTTTCGTACTAGTGCCAACAATTATAAACGAAACTGAGTTTCACACTAACATTAACAGAAAAGTAAATTGTAATGAATACAGTTATTTACTTTTTGGACCTTATCCATTGGCTTGTTTTTATTTCAAACAATGTTTATTGACAGAGCTACTCCCTATCTCTGGTATTTATATAGCATCACCACAAAGTTTTAGATCAAACTGTAATTCAGTTCAGAAATGGTTACTCCTTTTATATACACAAAACAATGTGTGATCTCTAACACCACTTATATATAGAATCAACACACAAGTTTAGCAAAGATATGGTGTGAGAATTAGAGATTTGTATTAATGACCAAACAGATGTAAAATAACACTGAAATCTTTACAATGGCTAAGACTTAGACTGTAGTTTTGTGGATTATGATACTATGTAGGCTGGTAACAACCTACCAGCCTACATAGTACAATAACTCACAAGACCACAGCTAGTTGTAAACTAAGCTTGCACAAGACTGGAGAGGATACAGTTCAGTGTTTTTGTAATATGACCTCTTACAGCTCTCACCTGTTTCTGGTAACTGGATTTTGCTGAAAACATCCATGAGCATATCAACAGCCACAAATGGACCTCGGAAGCAGCCGGGAGGTGGCAGTAATGTGCAAAGTTGAGCTACTGCTGGGGGGTGAGGAAAGACACCTCCTGCAAAAATTTAATTCTGTGACACAGAAACTTGGATTTCGCCACTGCATTAAATGTGGGAACAATATAAAACAAATGAATGAACAGAGGAAAATAAAATCAACATATGACAAAAAAGGAGGGCAGGAAAGATGAAAGTAAGGAAGAGGAAAGAAAAGATAATGATTTAAATTTTAAGATGATGCTTAGGAAAAGCCTCATTGCACCCATGAAAATGTCTCACCTGTACCAGACTTTTTAAATATCTTTACACATAACAAATTTGACAAATGTAAGGTCTTTAATTTTAACTTTTATTGGTTTTAAATTCTCTCTGATTTTTGTCTCTCCTTTGTTTAATATAATTATATATGAAAACATAATTTAAATTGAGATTATAATACTAGTTTCATAAGTTTATATGTTCAAGGAGTATTTGTGCTAGCAAATATACCTGGAACAGGGTGATCTCCAGGAATAGCCTGTGACTTAGGCTTGAATGGAATCATCTGCGTGAAATCTGGCCTAGGCATATTTGAGGATTCCTCTTCTGGATCAATTATAATTGATGACAATGGATGGAATGACTTCACAGCTGTACTGGCTACTTCACTGTAACCTATTGACCTGAGTGAGATAGAACATACCATAATAAAACCATGTAACACACATTAAAACAGAGGTTCTGAGCATGTGAGTCACAAGAGTTGAAGAGAATTCTTGAACCTAAGAGAGTGAACTAATGAAGTAATGGAAGAAATTTTATAAGGCACATGTAGCATACATGGAAACAATAACTTATTAAAAATTATAGTCTGGAAACCTTTTAAAAAAGACCAATTGGGACCAATGTGTATCTTAACACATTAGCAGTGATTGCACTGTTTAACATATTTTTATGGCCAACCATGGTTGATGGGCTACATTAATAAACAATTTTAAGCACAGAATTTCCTTTGCCTATTTTTGCCATTTCTTGGTGCTCTTAAGTTTGGTTTGGAGTGGGATTTTTATATATGTATAAGGTAAACACATTTATTTTTTTCTTTATTTGATTTCTGTATCTCCTTATTAAAGATTAATTTGAATGAAATCATTTGCTTTCGGTCTGAACGTTCTTAAAACTGTTGGTGAGCTGGAGCAACACAACAGTCATCAGTGTGTTACAGAAGGTGAACTGCAGTGAACTGGTGAAGGACAGGAGAGACTAATGGTGAGCTTTGTGCTAAACATGCTGGACTTTTATGTTCCATATATAACGAGCTGAATAACTCCTGACTGCTCAAAGAAGACCTTATACCATGGAATTTGTTAATATTGTAGCAGGTAGAACTTTTGCTATACAACGACTGTGAGATGGGCAGATATACCATGGCCGTTTCTGGGCAACGGCTAGTAAACACGTTCCTGTAGCAGTGGATATGAATGCAACAATAAAAGAGCTATGTTTTCTGTATGGTCTGTGCTGAGATGTTATAAGCAAGGAACAAGGTCAGTTTAGTCAATTCTGTATGGGAGTCTGTGAAGAGAGGACTTGAGCCAGAGGCAGAGGAATAGTCATTGAAGGAGCCGTTACCAGGCAACATCTAGTAACAGAGTGAGAACAATAGTGAACTGTAAAGCTTGGAAATAGCGATACTGTTGTAGTTATTTGTAGTTACAACCTGTAAGTGGTCAATAAATCTGTCAAGTATCCCATCCAAAACCTTATTGGTAGTCAACCCTATACGTGACAATATATAGTCTCCTCATAAAATTATTCTACAAGATTATTATAAATTCCATCTAATACCAAACAGGTAGAGTTCTGTAGCTCACAATATAGCTATGGGCTGGGGGGCCAGGGTTCAATTCCCAGCAGAGGAAAGAGAGTTTTCTCTTCTCCAGTGTCCAGACTGGCTCTGGGGCGACCCAGCCTCCTATCCAATGAGTACCAAAGCTCTTTCCCTAAGGCTAAAGTAGCCAGGGTATGGAGCTGAGCACTCACCTCCATCTAGTGCCAAAGTGAAGAATGGTGGAGGTATACCTCCACTCCTCCATATGTCTTCATGGTTTGCTTAATTATTTAATTAATTAAGCACAGGGACAGCTTTGCGTAACAACAAACAGGTGGGTTTAGCACTAATAGTCTACACTTGTATTTGTGAGGTGCTCAGTATAAATCTTGGTTGGAACACCAGTTATCCTGATGGGTTTTTCCGTGGTTTTCCTCAGTACCTTCAGGCAAATGCAAGGATAGTACATCAATCAGCATATGACTACTTCCTTCTAAATACTTTTCAGTTCACAAGTCATCCTACTGTCTGATGCTGTTAGTTCAAGATACTGATAATGTTGTAGAATATGCCACAATCCATTTCCTACTGGTAGCAAAATTATGTCACAGCAGACAGACAAGAGAAGAACTGCCCTGATTTAGTTTAGTGCTAGAGAGGTTTACTTCTATCTGCAAAGCATCTGGTTTAAATCTCAGCCTACTTTCAATTTTATAACTACAGTCAAATTATATCATAATGCACTGATTTAAGTAAAAAATTTATTCTCATTTTAAGGGTTTAATATGATGAATGGGCTGGATAAAAATGATACACATTTTAGAAAACTGTAATCATATAAATGTCATGCCACACAGAACCACCCAGCTTTTTAAAAGTTGCAAGAGAGACAAAAATTAATACATTAATATGATAGTATAAGCTTTATTTTTATAAAAACTGGACTTGAAAATACTGGAAATCCATAGAAGTGTTCTGAAATGTCATGACACATGACACACTGTTGAGATCAGTGAAATAACCCACTTTCAGGTGATCTTTACCTAAGTTCTGCTGGTGTGCAGGGATAGAGATCTAGGAACTTGTACCGGTCCACTAGTTGTGCTGTTTCCTTTCCTTCAAACTCTTTAATCTGCAACAGACATAAACCCCATAATAAGTGACAAGGAACCTGCCACAGCTTGTGTATATTTAAAGATAAAGTTTCAAGTTTTGCCAGTTTTTTTTTTTTTTTTTTTTTTTTTTTTTTTTTTTTTTTTTTTTTTTTTTTTTTTTTTTTTTTTTTTTTTTTTTTTTTTTTTTTTTTTTTTTTTTTTTTTTTTTTTTTTTTTTTTTTTTTTTTTTTTTTTTTTTTTTTTTTTTTTTTTTTTTTTTTTTTTTTTTTTTTTTTTTTTTTTTTTTTTTTTTTTTTTTTTTTTTTTTTTTTTTTTTTTTTTTTTTTTTTTTTTTTTTTTTTTTTTTTTTTTTTTTTTTTTTTTTTTTTTTTTTTTTTTTTTTTTTTTTTTTTTTTTTTTTTTTTTTTTTTTTTTTTTTTTTTTTTTTTTTTTTTTTTTTTTTTTTTTTTTTTTTTTTTTTTTTTTTTTTTTTTTTTTTTTTTTTTTTTTTTTTTTTTTTTTTTTTTTTTTTTTTTTTTTTTTTTTTTTTTTTTTTTTTTTTTTTTTTTTTTTTTTTTTTTTTTTTTTTTTTTTTTTTTTTTTTTTTTTTTTTTTTTTTTTTTTTTTTTTTTTTTTTTTTTTGCTTGTATTAATCTTCCTTCTGGTATATTGGAAAACTTGTAGAAGAATTTATGCAACTAGAGAAGATGGATTCAAACTGTGTGATACATGGAGCCATATTTTCATTTCATATACAGAAACACAGTTTGATGATAAGGTGGGCTAGATTAACAACCACCATCACATTGCATAAAAAAAATTTAGCTTATGAAAACCACTAAACTAGCTTAACATCTGCAGATGTTAAATATAAAATAGAAAAAAAAAACATGACAAAATTTAGAAACCATACAGTCTCTCTAATGAATGTGAAACATGAATGTTTCTGCACTTATGGGCCCATAGGCATAAAATACATGATAAGACATTGAAAAGATGGTTCATTTTTATTAGTTTATCTTTTATTATTTTCTGTATGAGTTATGAAGCCAAAAACTGCCATTATGAATTGTACATCAGAAAAGATGTTGATGAAGTCATCAGTGAAAAAGAAATTTGGCAGCATTCACCTGTAACAAACCATGAACACCATTAACTGGTTATTTTATGATATTATATCAACTGCTGAGGATATGTAGCATCAAATAAGGTATCACAAATTGGAAGGGATGTGAGAGGACACAGTTGTGGCCAATTTTAAGGTATTGTCACGATATTCACACAGAGGGACTGCAGGAAACTCATATGAAATCTCAGAATATCCATACAAAAATTGCACTCTTTGAGCTTAACTTCATTGATTCTGGTCCATCACAGTAGTGAATTATTATAGAATAATTGATAACACTGTCCAGTGTGATTCAGTTTGTATATTTTTAATGCTTTTACATTTTTTGGTCAGTTGTGACCATCTTGAGATGGTCAACATGTTTAAGAAAGACTATTACTAAGCTCATAATACGTGTTTAGAAGTTATTATATAAAAGATTATTCACAGTTATTTAAATTAAAAATCTTATTAATGTCAGTGTAGTGCTCCTCCATGACAATGTGTGTCTGCATACAGCTACTCACACTCGAGCACTGCTGGAGCATTTCACATGGGAACTGTTTGACCATCCTCCTTACAGCCCTGATCTTGCTTCAAGCAACTACCATTTGTTTACCTACTCAAAAAACTAGTTGGGATCACAATACTTCAACAACAATGAGGATTTGATGGAAGGTGTCAAAACATGGCTGAGCTCATAGATGGCAGACTTCTTTGACAGATGAATACAAAAGCTTATTCCCTGATGTGACAAGTGCCTTAATTCCAGTCATGACTATATTGAGAAGTAGCTTAAGCATGTACATATTTTTTGGTTATAATAATTTTTTCTCATTGCTTGTTTTTTAACAGCTCACTGGAGGTTACTTTCCAAATAACCCTCCTATATTTGAATTCTTTCTTCATACTGCAATGCAATGGATAGCCAGTAAATTACTCTGTTACTACAAACTGATGTTTGTTTGGTATCCCAGGGAAATATGTTCATGAGACTGTCTAGAAAAACACAGGCCAGGGCCAAAATAATTAAGATAAATTTTAATTGAGGTGAAAATTACTACTCTGACAACAAACTGTAAAGGAACTAAATGAAGATGGCCCAGTGGACCAAAATGCATATGTCATTAATATATGGATGAAAGTGTAATAAAATCAGTTGCAAATGGTTACTAATTCTACATTGGAGCTATGATGTATGAAAAGATGCAAAATCATTTGAAGTTTACAAAAGACTGACATGGAAACAGAAGAACATCGTGAATATTAATTCTCATGGTAAGCTGAAATTTGGTTTTTTAAAACTACCTTTAACTTCTTTTTGGATTTAATTATTAAATCAGTCAGGAAAAATTTAAAGAAAACGCTCTAAATACGAGGGTCATACTGAAAGTCATGAGCAACAATTTTTTGTAAAGTAACATGCTTTATTATTGACAAACCAAATACACCACCTCAATCTACAGGCCTTTCTTTATTTTTCCACGTAATCGCCACTTCTTTGTACACATTTCTCCCAGCGTTCTGCGAGTTTGAAAATTCCCCTTCTGTAAAATTCCGTTCCAGCCATCCGAAGACACTGACGCACTGCTTTCTTAATTGCCTCCCTTGTCTCAAAACGTTGTCCATGCAGCTGATCCTTCATAAATCCGAAAAGATGGTAGTCGGAAGGTGCCAGATCAGGGCTATAGGAGGGGTGTGGAAGAACTTCTCACCCCATCTTTGCAATTGCTTCCAATGTGAGGCGAGCGGCATGGGGGCAAGCGTTGTCATGCAGGATGATGATCTTTATCCCGGACGTTTATTGCGCAAGGCACAATGAACCTTGTGTAGCACCTGGACATAACGATCAGCATCGATGGTTTGCCCAGGTTCCAGGAATTTGGCCAGAATAAACCCCTCTGCATAGCGGCCGCTGTAGTCTAGAGGTAACGTTCCCACCTCATGACTCGTGGTACGCGGGTTCAAATACCCGGCGGAGGTCATCGAATTTTTAAGGGCGGAAAAATTCAGGGAACAAATCGTCCAGAAGGGACTTTAAGCTGTGTGTCCCGTGTCGTAACTTTACGGCATGTAAAAGAACGTCATATCCCCAAAGGGGATCACTGAGCCAAATTCCAGGACGTTTCCCGCCCAACAATAGTCTCTAAGGCCTCTGATAGGTGGGGGAAGCATTATAGACACTGTTAAGCAAGTGGCCGAACTCGCTTGCTCGGCGGGACTGATGGTATGCCCCATTTATCAGTAGGGTAAAGAGACTGGTAGAATATCATAGAGGGAAGCACAATAGATCAAACTGGTCACGGTGCATGGGGAAACCCACCCTCTCTAAATAACTAACTAACCCCTCTGCATCCCAGAAGACTGTGCCCATCATCTTTGCAGCTGATGGCACTGTCTTTGCCTTCTTTTTTGATGGAGAATGCAAATGGTGCCAGTCCATACTCTGCTGTTTCATTTCAGGCTCAAAATGGTGAAACCAGCTCTCAACACCTGTCACAATACAGAGCAAAAAATCATCACCTTCCTGTCGATATCTCTGCAGCAGTTCTGAGGTGATGGCTTTTTGCTGACCTTTGTGGTCTTCAGTCAATAACCTCGGGACCCAACGAGCACACACTTTCCTATAGCCCAAGCTTTCAATCATCTCCTGTACTGCAGTGTGCCCTATTCCAAGTTTTCAGGCTATTGTGTCCACAGTCACACGCCTGTCATCTTGAATGATCTCATCCACTCTTTCCTTGTTGCATTTAGTTGAGGCTGTTCGAGAATGACCGCTCCGAGGCTCATCTTCGATGCTGGTGTTCCCATCTTTAAAATGTTTCACCCATCTTCGAACACTGCTCGCACCCATGCACACAATTCCATAAGCACGCTGAAGTCTCTGGTGAATTTCTGCAGCAGGGATTTCCTCTTTCACAAGAAATTCGATGACAGCATGCTGGCAAAATGACATATCGTTGTCGGCCATTTTGTTAGGAGTGATACTGGTCACGTGATGCAAGCTATTGATGTCACAAGACACTCAAGGTTAACACAACAGCTGGTTCCACCTACCACTATACTCGCTTTCATCTGCTGTTCCCAGGTTGCATGCAAAAAAAAGTTGCTCATGACTTTCGGTACAACCTACATATATTGCCTTTCCCATAACACATCTATGTGAAATTCAGTATTAATTCTTAACTTTAATAAGGGCTAAATCTGTCAAAGATTACATATTTAGCCCAATCTGAGACTGAAACTATGTTCAATTATTCTGTAACTGACACCTTGCATTATGAACATGAGATACATTCATCACATTAATTTCTGTACTAAATGTATTCATTTTTTTTAATTAATCTGTCCTGTGCTACAATTTCCTATTTATGTCTTATAAATATGTTATGACTCTGGCATAAAGCTTTCACTAAATTATCACATTAAGAAAAATGAACATAAACTCTGAAAGACTTTATATAACAAAAATACTCTTGAAAAATGCATCCAATAATGTAATAGAGCTTCAACATATTCGTTTATATCATACACACACACACACACACAATAGCTTATACCTGACTAAAGATTAATTACTTCTGCAATGTAATGCAAGAAACCTCATAATGCCACAGAATATTTTATTTGTACTATTTATGTAAATCTGAATGCACATGTGATAGATTACTTGCCACACCAGTTGGAATAAAATTTTAAACTGGCTTACAATTATCAGAGAATACATTACACAATAATTTATTGAACCAGCTGCATTATTACCTGAAAACCATAAGATTCAGATCCTGAAAAAAGTTGATTATAATTTGATAAAGCATCCATATTCAAAATAAGCGATAAGAACTGTGTTATTAAGTTTCTGAGGCTAAATTATGTAACAAATGTAAATTAATTATTTTACATATGCTGTCACCTCTTCTAGTATATATGAAAATAACTTTTATTTTACTTGCTTCTCTTATAGATTAAACAGAAATCACTGACTGATATTAAAAGAGTTCCTCTCTGTCATTGCTGATATGTATGCTAGCTAAGGCTGTTAAAAAAATTTACAAGTTTTATGATACTGTGACATATCAATGCACTGCCAGGCAATGGCTCGATAAACACTCCGTGATACACACATGAAATAATGGAATGAGGTTATGCAACCCACTTTTATTCAAGGGCTCAGTAAACACAATTCTGCGCAGGCACAATGACATCACATTCTAACAGTACTAGCTATCATGTGACTTGTTTTCTGTGTTGTCCGTGTGGCGCCTATATAATAAAGACCTGTTTAAGTTTAAGTCAGTGGCAAGTCCAGGAGGGTTCAGCAGTCGAGAGTACAAGGATGAGAATGGAGCATGAATTGTGAAGATTGACTAAGTACAGATTAGGACAGAGGCGTACAGAGTGACGGAAGACGAAACAACAAGAATAATTCATAGTGATTTGAAGTGCGTTTCTGTATTGAGATCTGTTTCTAGGAGATGACTAGTGGAAAATGAGAATCGTAGTGCATGTGTAACAGTGAATTATAAGTGGAGAAACAGCTATTGTGCTGCACTAATTGTAATTAAAATAAAGAGTATAACCGAAGTGCTAATAAATCCAATCATCCGAACTAGAACCTGTTAATTTCATCGCGCGTACCACCCTGCACATGACAATACAGTTTATGGATGTGATTTGAATCCTCACTACCAATTCCATTTCTTTGATTACATAAGTGTATGTTGATTATTAATTTTCCATGTTAGCCCTTCTTTACAGTTTTATTCATTATATACTGCAACAGTAACAATGAAAAGTAAACTATACTGGGCAAAGAATGGGTATATCTTCTAATGATTAAGGGTCTTCATTTTATCTTGTTTTATAAATCTTCATTCTCATAGTGTACTGCTTCCATTTCTTGTTATCCATCAGTTACCCACTTTTCCCTAGATCTTTCACAGTTATGCCTTCCTCTTGAAGTCCAGTTTGCTATATTAGTTGGCTTTCACAGCAATGACTACAGTACTGTCATTTTGGATTGGCACTGTGTTGTCTGGTAGAAATTTACTGAAGTTTCAGAGGAAAGTATTGCCTCAATTTTCAGGATCAAAGGGTGTGCTGTTACAGCAAGAAGAGTGTTTGCTGGCATGTCTTACTATTTGACCCTGAAGACAAACGGTACTTAGTATCTTTTTGTAGTTGAATTATAATACAATATTCACACACTATCTAGCATTTGAAAAAATTTACTATGCTTAATTTACAATTTCTAAACTATTTAAGAGACCAAGGCAAAGAGACCAAATTATGAAGCTCATTACTACATAACATTCATTATTCCCCTGCTACCATGTTCTCAGACACCCTCAATCTTTATGATACATGAGGTTCTTATGGCATTGAATATTAATATTACAGTCTTTTGGGATGTGACACTATCTGGTTTTGTAGATATGTATGAATATTCCAGAGGAATCTGCTGCCTGTATATTTAATCTTCTACCTTGAAGATAGATACATTAGGTTCCTCTAAAACACTGGTACATATCTACTAAGTTACACACTGACACATTCCAGAAGACCGTAATCTTATATGTTTAATCTTTGTCCTTTCCACAGAAGACAAAGTTTCTCACACATACAAAGGAGAGTTTTATATCTATATTTCTTTCCAGTATTGTGGCAAGAAGATTACAAGAATGGAAGGGTTGTCCAACATATGGTAGCAAACAATATCAAAGAATGAGGTCTTTAATATGCTTTATGTGGCCACCACCATAAGCAGGCTGATATTACTCACCAGCCGAAGTAACACATTATCAATAACCGCACACAAACAACATTATTCTGATACTTCAAAGCTGACCTTCTCATGTCCTTGAGTCCCAGTGTCTATTGTATCCAAGTACACAGTGTTGTTCTTCAAGTACTCGGGGCACCATCGCTTAAATTCCAAAATGAACTATTTCAATTTACTATTATGTGACAAATTCACTTTCCACTTTGGATAAAACAGAAAAAGAATACATACTAGAAACTGTAAAATTATTCTGAGTAAAATGGATACCTTATTGTAAATACACTTTCAGGGAAACTGCCATTTCATCAGCTTATTGTGCGAAATTGGGATTGTTCTTCACTACATGTGGTGATGAACAAACATGAAGCACTGACAGGATGACTGGTAGAGAGGAAGCTGCCCCAACACACAGCAAATTTGACTGTTTGTCATTGGTTTAATTAAGAACACAGGAAAAAACGTAGCTGTCACAGTGCTTAACTAAGCACCCCATCATGAAGACATATAGGACAGAAGTAGGCATCCTTAACCTCAACATTAGATGTATGTGAATGGTCAGCTTCAGGCCCCAGTTGCTTTATCTGTGGGGAAAGACACCCCAGTACCAAATAAGTAGGAGGTTGGGTGGTCCCTAAAGATGGTCTGGATCTGTGAGAAGAAAATCTTTTGTCCCTGCTGGGAATCAAACCACCGTTCCACAGTCAACCAGCCTGTAACCTAGACACTGTACCAAGTGAACTATCCTGGCTCCATGTTGAAGTATGAATAGTAAGCTAGTATGCATAAGGGGTAGTCTATCATGAACTGCTGTTCTAAGGTACTATCCCAGTCACTGACTAAAGAGACTGAAGCAAAGAGAAGAGTGAAAATTTCAGCTGGTCATGTAAGATTTAAGGTCACCCAGCTAGTCTCTCAGCTGTGATCCACATTTTCCATATATATAACAGTATTGCTAACCACTATGTCATGAAGTACAGTGGCAATGTTGGTACCTGGCATAATAGGCCTCAGTTTTTCTTACTTAGTGAAAATGTGTTTCTGCTGATAAAGAAGGAAATAGCAGATTAATATAACATTATTAACACTATGAAAGATGTCAATCATTTTTTCATAAAATGCATGTTTTGTATTGGTAACTTGATCCAGAAGGCAAAATGCAGCTGGAAATTTTATGAAGTCTCCAGTTAACAGGAAATATAGGTTTATGTCCCAGCTGGATAAGTTTTCACCACAATTACATTAACTATGATTGTGTTAGCATAATTACTAGTCCATTATTAACTTATTAATTAAACAAATTCACAAAGCAGTCACACAGTGACTGAAATCATCCTGCATCTACCACAAGTGCTATTTATCAGCACATGAAATGTGATACATTAATCTGAAGCCAAGTACTTTGCTCCTTTTCAGTTTCATAAATTACATTGGTTAATGTATTTTATCATAAAATTTTGTTTAACAGCCTAAAGATATTTGAAGACAACATGCAGATAAAATAATGATATTAGAATTAATCTTTGGGGATGTTTGTGGGATTCAGACGTGAACTGAACACAACTGTCCAATGGTAGGCTTTCGTGAGGACAGTGATCAACCTGTGCATTCTATATCAGGGAACAATTTTAATCACCAAATGCCAATTCAACTGCTTATGGAATATCCTGTATCAGGGAATTGGATACTGGATTTATATTTAAAAAACCTCTGTTTAAATCTTCTCATCAAGACAATATTAGTCTTTTCTGGCCCTTACAAATGACTAAATCGAGATCTGATTTCATATCATGTAAAACTGAACAGTATATAGCAACTGTCACAAATATGATCTACTGTTGCTGCCATCACAGGGATCACAGGTGTTCTCATATATCTACCTCTTCAGTTTTACAGGCTCAACTATGGTCATATGCACCTATTAAGAATTTCACACCCATGTCAATACAAAGCTGTGGATGTTATTAGTGGATGGAGAAGGCCTAATCTGAGACTCAATAACTATTCCCATTTGTGCAAATATTGTACATAAAGTGCCCAAAGAGAAGACAACAAATACAGTCACTTTCAAAATCATATAGAATTTGCAGATATCTGATGCAATTACATAAAAGATGTTCAATTAAGTATAAAACTAACTCTTTCAGTGTTCTAATCTAAAAAAAGCAGTCTGAATGGCATCATACTGTAGAAAGCTCTGTTAGTACCCTTTGTTCAGCATGCCTGCTTACAATTAGAGAGGGGAAAAAGGAAAGACTACCAGTATAGAGAGCAATTCTTCCTGCTTATAATACTTGCAATATATAATAAATGCCAAATGAGTAAATATTATCCCTATAACTGAAATTAAAATAAATGCTACACAGCTAGAGTACTTGCTTAGGCTAGCAAAAAAAATGTGCATTTAGCATAAGTCTGTACTTCGGTTGACGATTAAAGGGGTTAACACAAATGGATTTGGAGGCATTCAATGGTTAATGTACAAATGGTTAGTGGGTAGGGGAATTCTTGGATATAAATGTCTTTAAATAAAATGGGAATGACTGATCAGGGAAACATCACATTTCCACCATGTATTTAACATCTCTTTTATTTTGTACCCTCTCATATTTTTATGCTGAGGTTGTAAACTAGCTATTTTTTACCTTAGATATCAAATCATTTAAAACCATACTGGTTTGTGCTATAGCAGAAATAAATGATACTTCAGACAGGGTAAAAAGGTTTCACACTAACCTGGCCTAATACAGCACTTCGCCTCTTCTCCACTTTGACTATGCTGGCAAGATCTCCAATATTAGACTCAAACTCTAAAAACCGGTTCCATATATCTCTGCAAAACAAATGTTTTTCAAGCATATCTGCATTCCTTGCATAACCACAATCAATGATAAACTTGAAACTTCATAAAAATATAAAACATTAGAGCAATTAATTAGGGACACAGGTAATTTGGATGACTAGACATCAATTGCAAACATGTAAATCTAGAAAAAACAAACAGTGCCTCCTTTCCTTTTCAGCTTCAATATAGTAAATTCCCTGTTATCTGACATATATGCTGGTCTGCTGGTTGCACAAGAAGAACTCTTAGAGAAACCCCAGTACACAGTCAAAACACATTTTCACTTGACATTTTATGTGGAAGTTTTACTAACTGACATAGTAGGGCCACACCATAGCTCAAGAGGTTAGTCGCTGGCTTCACACCATGGCAGCCTGGGTTCGATCCCGAGTCTGGTCAAGTGGGATTTGTGGTGGACCAAGTGGCACTGGGGCAGGTTTTCTCCGAGTACTTCGGTTTCCCCTGCCAATCTTCATTCCACCAATTGCTCCACAATAACCCTCACCTATCATCTGGGGCTGGTACAAGAGGCCATAAGTGGCTGCAATACAAGGGACTTAGTCCCACCCCACTAGTAATAAAAAAAAACTGACATAGTAGATTGATGTACAAAATATTCTGGATACATATACTGTAGCATGATCACAAATTCAGTTAGCCTCTACTGTAAAGGCACCTGCACGAGGATGATGGGTAGCACTCCTAGTGGCCACTGAGAGAACTACCACATGCAGAGTGAAAATACGTGCACTGAATTTCTTTTTAATAACTTTATAAAAATGATGAATTTTCTTTGAAACGTTTGTCAGCTAGATAAAAATTTCAGTTGCTTAGATACTGGATAACCAGGAGTTTACTGTATGTATGAGGAAAGTCAGAAATTATCAGCACTTTCGCCATAACACATCTTTGGGTGCATCTGCACATGCATGCTTGGAGTTGGTACTATTGTGGTCATGTGATTGAACTTTGACCTTGATTGCATCATTTTCCTTGATGCTGTGACAGCGTAAACATGGCCGCTCTGCTAGCAGTGTGCACCAAGGAGGAACAAAGAACAGTGATCTGAGTTTTCTGGTTGGAAGGTGTGTCAGGGGCTGAAATTCATCGGTAGGTCCATCACTATGAGCCAGAATCCAAAAGCCAGAGTATGGTGTGGAAACACCCAGGATTGCCAACGAAGAAGAAATTCAAGACTCAATCTTCCGTGGGAAAGGTGATGCTAACCGTTTTTTGGGACTCAAAAGGGCCCATACTGGAAGAATACCTGGAAAAAGGGTGTATGATCAATGGTGCAAGATACAGTGATTTGCTGGCCAACAATATGAAGCCAGCAAATCGCACCAAACGCCGAGGCCTATTGTTGAAGAAAGTGTTGTTGCATGACAATGCATGCCCACACATGGCTGGCCAGACCACTGAAACTATTAACCATTTGGGTTTCGAGGTGCTGGAACAACCTGCCTACAGCCCAGATCTCTCCCCTTCTGACTATCAAGTCTTTGGACCGCTCAAAGATGTTTTACGAGGTCATCGATTTTCTACAGACAAAGAAGTGCGGGAAGTGGTGCATAAATGGTTGCATGACCAACTGAAAACCTTCTTCTTGGGGGGAATACGCAAGCTTGTGGACCGCTGGATCAAGAGCAACAAAACGGAAGGAGACTATGTAGAAAAATGACATTCTTGTTCAACCCTTACGTCTGTGTATATAAATTGAAAAAACAAGATTACGGATAATTTTTGACTTCCCTATGTAGATCATCCAAAGCTACTTGGGTATATTAAATAAAACTTCATCATTTGTTCACAATGATTTCCAGCCACCAACAATTTTAAACACAAAAACATAAATATGTTGAAACATTTAGAAACTTCTATAAAAATAATTCTAAAATGTAAATAATGTATACATTTTGCACAATCATCATTCAAAACAAAAATTACATTAAAAAAGCTTGCTCTTAAGATCTGTAACCATACAGTACATCATAATTCTACTATGACTACAGCTGGTCTTGTACACACCTGAGAGGTTTGCTTATCTGCCATGTTGGTACAATGAGGTCTAAACCTAAGTGACACAGAGTGAGCATTGTACAGAACTTCTGACATGAGTGCAACTTCTTGATTAAAGTTACGATTTGATTTTGTCTTACCTGTCTGATAGTTGTGTCCATCCTCATTGAAACACATCTGGCAAAGGTATAAGAAATTCTGGGACACTTCTTACAAGTCACTTTCTGTAATATTGCAAATTACACTCCTAATTCAATTCTAGATGGCCATTATAGAGTTCACAGATTGTTGCTGTACAATTCTGCTTTAAATTTCCCCATGTATAAATTTCGCACACATTCAAATCTTGGAATGAGGTAACCATAGTCATTGGCTAATTATCCATTCATCAAAAATCTCACAACGGGCCTCCACAGAGCGTTATGTTGTGTGGGCTGTTGTGTTATGCTGTTGGAAATACGCACATTGCTTCTATTCTTCAGTTAGCATTTGAAAGAATGGTTCCAAAATAGTGACATGATAAGTGAAGAAGACAGCCACTGATTGGTAAGAGCTTGATAAACATGTTTCTGCAGCAATGAATAAACACATAACAGCAGAGGAATTCTTGGAAGGAGTGTTTTATATGCAGTCCATGCCAAGGTTATATAATGATGACATCAGCCAAGTCAACAATCAGTCACCAGTTGAGAGTCAACAGTTGGAGTAATGAGGTAGTTAGTTGTGAGACAGTTGCCAGAGTATTATAATTACTTGTGGTTATGGTTTATAAATGTTCAATACATCCAACTGGTGGTGGCTTTTGGCATCCCAATGATGGGTGTCCTGGGCATTCATAAAACCACTGCAATGAACAAAGCACTGGAAAAATTCTGTCATGAAAAGATTGTAACATCCAGTGATAAGAGATTATATGCGTAACTGCATCTGCAGGAATAAAATTCTGAAACACTGACACTCTGTAAGCATGAAACCTAAAAGCTTTGAGACATCTTAAAAGGGAACTTTTCAATGTGCCACATACTCTCCTAGCTGATACGACAATATTCCTGGACTCATTTCCATTCTCACTTGAACATCCTCAAGTCTCTGTTCTGTGATAGCATACTTTTGGCATAATTTCGTTTTATAAAGAATGGAACCTNTGAGTTTTCTGGTTGGAAGGTGTGTCAGGGGCTGAAATTCATCGGTAGGTCCATCACTATGAGCCAGAATCCAAAAGCCAGAGTATGGTGTGGAAACACCCAGGATTGCCAACGAAGAAGAAATTCAAGACTCAATCTTCCGTGGGAAAGGTGATGCTAACCGTTTTTTGGGACTCAAAAGGGCCCATACTGGAAGAATACCTGGAAAAAGGGTGTATGATCAATGGTGCAAGATACAGTGATTTGCTGGCCAACAATATGAAGCCAGCAAATCGCACCAAACGCCGAGGCCTATTGTTGAAGAAAGTGTTGTTGCATGACAATGCATGCCCACACATGGCTGGCCAGACCACTGAAACTATTAACCATTTGGGTTTCGAGGTGCTGGAACAACCTGCCTACAGCCCAGATCTCTCCCCTTCTGACTATCAAGTCTTTGGACCGCTCAAAGATGTTTTACGAGGTCATCGATTTTCTACAGACAAAGAAGTGCGGGAAGTGGTGCATAAATGGTTGCATGACCAACTGAAAACCTTCTTCTTGGGGGGAATACGCAAGCTTGTGGACCGCTGGATCAAGAGCAACAAAACGGAAGGAGACTATGTAGAAAAATGACATTCTTGTTCAACCCTTACGTCTGTGTATATAAATTGAAAAAACAAGATTACGGATAATTTTTGACTTCCCTATGTAGATCATCCAAAGCTACTTGGGTATATTAAATAAAACTTCATCATTTGTTCACAATGATTTCCAGCCACCAACAATTTTAAACACAAAAACATAAATATGTTGAAACATTTAGAAACTTCTATAAAAATAATTCTAAAATGTAAATAATGTATACATTTTGCACAATCATCATTCAAAACAAAAATTACATTAAAAAAGCTTGCTCTTAAGATCTGTAACCATACAGTACATCATAATTCTACTATGACTACAGCTGGTCTTGTACACACCTGAGAGGTTTGCTTATCTGCCATGTTGGTACAATGAGGTCTAAACCTAAGTGACACAGAGTGAGCATTGTACAGAACTTCTGACATGAGTGCAACTTCTTGATTAAAGTTACGATTTGATTTTGTCTTACCTGTCTGATAGTTGTGTCCATCCTCATTGAAACACATCTGGCAAAGGTATAAGAAATTCTGGGACACTTATTACAAGTCACTTTCTGTAATATTGCAAATTACACTCCTAATTCAATTCTAGATGGCCATTATAGAGTTCACAGATTGTTGCTGTACAATTCTGCTTTAAATTTCCCCATGTATAAATTTCGCACACATTCAAATCTTGGAATGAGGTAACCATAGTCATTGGCTAATTATCCATTCATCAAAAATCTCACAACGGGCCTCCACAGAGCGTTATGTTGTGTGGGCTGTTGTGTTATGCTGTTGGAAATACGCACATTGCTTCTATTCTTCAGTTAGCATTTGAAAGAATGGTTCCAAAATAGTGACATGATAAGTGAAGAAGACAGCCACTGATTGGTAAGAGCTTGATAAACATGTTTCTGCAGCAATGAATAAACACATAACAGCAGAGGAATTCTTGGAAGGAGTGTTTTATATGCAGTCCATGCCAAGGTTATATAATGATGACATCAGCCAAGTCAACAATCAGTCACCAGTTGAGAGTCAACAGTTGGAGTAATGAGGTAGTTAGTTGTGAGACAGTTGCCAGAGTATTATAATTACTTGTGGTTATGGTTTATAAATGTTCAATACATCCAACTGGTGGTGGCTTTTGGCATCCCAATGATGGGTGTCCTGGGCATTCATAAAACCACTGCAATGAACAAAGCACTGGAAAAATTCTGTCATGAAAAGATTGTAACATCCAGTGATAAGAGATTATATGCGTAACTGCATCTGCAGGAATAAAATTCTGAAACACTGACACTCTGTAAGCATGAAACCTAAAAGCTTTGAGACATCTTAAAAGGGAACTTTTCAATGTGCCACATACTCTCCTAGCTGATACGACAATATTCCTGGACTCATTTCCATTCTCACTTGAACATCCTCAAGTCTCTGTTCTGTGATAGCATACTTTTGGCATAATTTCGTTTTATAAAGAATGGAACCTGTTTCCTGTGACTCATTATGCAGTTTCAAAACACATTTTTTATTATTGTATAGCCTCTGGATAAAACCTTCAAAACTTATGTACACATGGCATGTAGGACTTCTTTGGAAGGAATGTCTAATACATGTGCTCTGTTGTGTAGATAACCATCCTTAAATCACCGATCACGATGAGAAACAGCTTTAAATGAATAGAACTATGTCAACTAACAGTGGAGGTACAAAGTGTGCCTTTGTTATGAGAGCATGACTCATGGTAAAAACACTGCCTACACTTGCATCTGAGGTTCTATACTGTGTTGCCAAGCTAATACATTGGCTGTGGCTGGAACAAGCTACTTTGTAAATTCCATTAAAGTGCAGGTCACATAGGTGTGTACCTCAGTGTATCTCTGCTGGTAGGAAAAGAAGTGGCCCCTAATGCAGTTCATGCAGTGGTTCTGAACATGTGCCCCTCATGGGTACATGAAAACTCATGAAGGGGTGTGTAAGATATAGTTCCTACATTATCAAATACACACTGAAAGGGTTAAGAGAAATCCAACAATTTTTAATATGCATGGGATACATAAAGTTTGTTTAAAATGAAGAAGACGTTGTACCTATTCATGTTTACAATACATGATAACGTATATGTTGAGTTAAAGATTAAGTGTTAGCATTGAGAAACGGTATGTAAAGTCTGAAAAGGGTTTGGAAAAGCTGATGTAATGTCTAAGCTGGTTCATGAAAATTGTCAAAATTTCAACAGTTATCTTGGAAACAGAGGTGAATGAGGGGGGGGGGGCCAAGGACAGATGAAACTGGCACACTGTCTCCCAACCCCCCAAAAAGCCAAAGGGAAGAAGAAGGTAAGGTTATCCCTGTAACAAGCCATGGAAGCTCATAGGGTTGTGAGATGTCAAGGCTCCCACATTTTCTAGATAATCGGCTCATAGATGGAGGTGAGGTTGTAACCCCAATGTTCAATTGCCCTTTACCCAGAGGAAGATTCCTGGTACTTATTTCTGTTAGAGGTTGAGTTGACCCCAGGGCTACAGTGTGGTTGGAAGAATTAGGTTATTTTGAAAAATCCAATGACCTCATCAGGAATCAAAACCATGACTTCCTGGCATGTAGCATAGTCCCTCAACCAAACATGCCACAGTGTGCCCTGAAACAGGCACATTGACATGGAACAATTGTAATACAATCATGCTATGACATTTAGAGTGTGCTAACCCCACATCAAAAATTAAAGGCATTAAATAATATTCAGGAGATCCCAGATTTAAATCTCAGGCAGAAGACCAGCATTCCTCACAGTGTTTTATGATTTCCTCAGTTTCTTTAGGTGCATGCTGAGATAATAACTTCAAGCAGACCATAGCCTCTATTATGTTCATTTCAGATTTCCATTTTGATCTTATGAAAATGCACAAGAAAGAAGGAACTAATTCCATTTATACTTTTTAAATAATAACTAACCCTACACAGCACAGTCCCTGAGAACCTAACAATCACCCAGACGGACAAGAAAATTTCTCACCTTCTATGGAACCTGATGGTTCAATATTATATTTAAGCATCCTGTTACAGCCTACACAATGTATGACACAAACTCCATTCTAAGTGCAACAATTTATTGTAGTTCTTTTGTCTTCTTTTCTTCTACACTATATGTTTCGGCCATAAATGGCCATCATCAGGTGTATACTCTCACGTAGCTGTTACACTGCACGTAGTTTAAAATTCAAAAACACCAGCTTTCTTAATTGTTCATTTCTCCATTGTTAATAGGTCCCAATATAGCAGAATTGACATATTAAAGATAAGCAGCGGCACACACACAGGGAGCCTACACAGAATAATACCTGAAGAGTGCTGAAAGCAAGAAGTAGCCGCTGGAGCACTGTACACCTAGAGCAGGTATCCCTGCAAATTTTAAATTTAAAAAATGTTTAAATTAAAAAAAATTAATTTAAATTGAAGATTTTAAAAATACCAAAATTAAAAAATCAAATTGACGTATATAAATTAACAAAGATTTTATACATATCTGACAAATATCAGCAGGGGGACTCTGGTATATCGGGATCTATTAACAACAGAGAAACGAACAATTAAGAAAGCTGGTGCTTTTAAATTTTAAACTACGTGCAGTGTAACAGCTACGTGAGAGTATACACCTGATGATGGCCATTTACGGCCAAAACATGTAGTGTAGAAGAAAAGAAGATAAAAGAACTGCAATAAATTGTTGCACTTAGGATGGAGTTTGTGTCATACATTCTGATGTTTCACTTTAAAACAAGCTTTGCAAAATGATGTTCAGTACTTACACAGATTTCTCTGGTTCCAGGCTGCCTGATGAGAGAACACGTTCAAAAAGGACACGTGTGTTGTTATCCTCTGAAATGAATATGTGCCCACTGTGTTATTATTTTTTAATAGTTTTTTAAGTTTGTTACTTAATGACACATTCAGTATCAAGATTATACTTGTATAGTGTTAGTGATAGGATAAGTATTGAATGTGGAGCAGTTGGTGGAATGAAAACTGATGGGACAAACTGAAGTACTCACAGGAAACCTGCCACAGTGCCACTTTGGTAACTACAAATCCCACATGGCCTGACCTGGGGCTAAACCTGAATTTCCACGGTGGGAACCAGCAACTATGAGCCTGAGCCATGACATTACCTTACTGTGTTATTAGAAAGTACATTATGATGAGACTAGATTTATATCTCTGCATAAATTATGCACCTCTATTTTCATACAAGAAATTTTGGAATAAAGTTAAATACCATATTTTTAACCTCAATAAAATTCTGGCCAAGGCATAGTTTTCATAGAAAATCTGTTCAAAGTGGCTGTTCATGCCTATGGACTTCACCAGACAATTCCTTGGTGAATTTTAAACAAAAATTCCTCATCAGAAACTTTCAACCAACACACAACTGTAACAGAAAATGCAATTAAAGTTGAATGTGATGTGGCAACAGGATATGGATATTCATGCTTACGGTATCCACCACATAATTCCTTGATGAAGACTGAGATGAAATTGTCCTATGATAAACTTCTGATCAATGTTTAATTTTCAAAAAGAAAATGCAATTAAAACTCCCCTGTGTGTTGCCATAACATATTTAACCCATATAATTAAAAAATATATATATTAAATTATCAATCAAAAGAGAAAGAAGTTTTGGGAAGGTCCTTGAAATGATGAAAGTTTTCTGTTTTGCAATAATTTTAACAGGTCTCAACAGGCCTAATATTGAAAAGAATGATGGCGGTGGCAGTGGCGGTGGCGGTGGTAGTGATAATGATTATGATTCAATAGAATTTATAATAACATCTTATTCATGATCTTACAAAGCAACATTTCAACATTAGGACCTTAAATTAGCACAAGGGACTTACCATTCAGATGGGACAGATAATCTATATAGCAGAGTATGTATTCAGGGTTATCTGAGAATTTCTTGAGGCCAAGTTCAAATATGCGAAAAGCAATGTTCTTGTCTTTACTGCAGTAGTATTCCATGAGTGCTGCAGCAACAAATACATGGAACCGTGACCGTGGGTCTTCTCTGGCCCGTTTGAAAACTGTCCGAGCAGATTTGATGCCTTCTGCCCGACGAGCAAATTTCATATATTGTACATACGCCTATAATAAAGAATCATGAATGACTTTTTAATCTAATATAATAAAATGTTAAGATTCCAGCAGGTTCTTGCAGAGAAAATGTTGAATCCAACTGGAAAGTTGAATAATATACTAATGTGTTTTAAATAATAAAGGAAGTTTGGAAATCATGTTTCCTTGTACCAACTGTAACAAGATGCAAAATGCTGGGCGATGTCATGCAACCATTATAAGAAGAACATTCCATATATAATGCCTCCTTTTTTTCTAACAAAAACTACAACAGATACAGAAAGCATAACAACGCAGTTAAATAGAGCAAGATTTCAGCTACTTACAGTCATTTTCCCACATAATCACCACCATTCATTGTGCACTTTTGCCAGCGATGAGCAAGAGCCTGTATGCCATGCCTGTAAAAGTCTGCGCCAGCAGAGGCTAGCCACTTTCTTACAGCTGCAATGACAGCATCATTGTCTGGAAAATGTTGCCCACGTAGTCCATCTTTCATAGGCCCAAAAAGATGGAAGTCTAAACGTGCTAAATCACGATTATAAGGTGGATGTGGTAGGACAGTCCAGCCAAACTTTGCAATTTGCGCAGTGGTCGCCAAACTGGTATGGGGTCTAGCATTATCATGTTGCAAGCGAAAGGTTGTCTGCTTCTCTGGCCGGACTCGGGAAATGTAGGCTTTCAGCTTAGTCAGCGTCATCTTGTAGCGTTCAGAATTGACAGTCTCACCAAGCTCCAGGAAATCCAACAAAATCACACCCTGCCTATCCCAAAAGACCATGCACACCACTTTCCCTGCCAATGGCTGTGTCTTGAACTTCTTTCTTCTTGGGGAATCCGGATGTCACCACTCCATGGAATGTCTTTTGGATTCCAGCTCATAGTGGTGACACCACGTCTCATCTCCGGTGACAATGCTGTCCAGAAACTTGTCACCTTCAGCCTCAAACTGGCACAACAGGTCCTGACGGACTTCCATTCAAAGAGTCTTGTGGTCCTGTCTAAGCATCTGTGGGACCCACCTGGAAATAAACTTTGCAATAATCCAGCTTCCCCAACATTGTTTCCAATGCATTACAGCTGATATTAAGCCGTGCACACAGTTCCCTGGTCGTTATCCGTCGATCTGTGTGGATGAGCTGATCGAAGCGCTGTTCATTGTGAGGAGTGCCAGCTGAGCAGGAATGCCTAGGGCGTGGTTTGTTATGCACTTCACTTTCGCCACTCTTGAAACGCACTACCCAATGCCTCACTGTGCTGACATCCACTGTATCGTCTCCGTATACCTTTAGCAAGCGTCGATGGATGTCAATGGGTGCAATTTGTTCGGCAGCGAGAAATTCAATAATACATCTCTGTTTCATACGCACTTCTATGTCAGACACCATTTTGGTAGACTGCTCTGCTGTCGCTATCTGTCACACGACAACCAAACTAACAATACATTGGCAGGAAGATTCAGTCTTTACTACAACACCACCAACATCCAGCTCAGATGTTATATATTAACACAAAAAATAGGAGGCATTATGTACGGAATGCACTTCGTAGTATTCTAGAACACACTTGGTTTAAATGTTGTAACTTATCAGAGATTCTGGGTTACTACTTTTGTATCAGTGAGGGCATGATGCAGGAACCTCAGGGGACTGAATGAGTACTACTTCAGGGATCTCATGGAAGTGAATATGATGTGTCCCTGATGTTGTAATCACTAACAATAATGACAACAGGCATTTAATTTCAGTTACCTGCATAATTTAACTACAAGAATAAAGTCTTCCTTTGCACTCAATTTGCTGGTGACACAATACACTTGTCATAACATAACATTTAATCATTATGCCTGATTTTGCAGTATTACTGAACAAAGTCTTGGTTTATTCTTTTATTAATAATGAGATGTGACTTTATTGGTGTCTATTTCTCAAATGTTCCTTCTGCATTCTGCAGGGTCTAATGGCACCTTTGTATTTTACTTGCCTAGAAAGAAGTATCAGTCCTTCCTACACAACAACTGAAAGACAAACTTTCCTCCATTTAACACACATATGAGAATCATTAGTCTCATTTCTTTACATATAATAGACCTTGATCAGGATGTATTAAACTTCTAGCTAGTTATACCAAAATCTGTTAAGTGAATTTCATGATAATCAGTACGAACATCATGTCACTACAGGTAACCTTACCTTCATACTCATGAATGCCAACATTGCAACCTCCCCCCCCCCTCTTCTCTCTCATACACACACACACACACACTCAGTGTACAGCTGAGATTTTATGTGGTAACAGATCTTAAAGAAACAGGCAACCTTTGCTATAGTCATGTCTGTGTAAATTTACTTTTTTTCACAAAATGATAATTAGTTAACACATGTACAGACAGCACAGGCATGTGAAATTTTATGTGATTATAATCATATTGTAACATGTTGCGGAACGGAGCCCCCCCCCACCAGCAGTGACGCGGCGGGTGGGTCGGCGCTCTCCTCCCCCCTCCTCCCCACGGTAACGTAGCGCTCCCAGCCAGCCCTCCGCGGTGACGTAACGCGCACCGCTACGTGCCCGTAATCAACGTCCTACTGTGACGTGGCACTCATTACGCCACAGGCAAGCACTGCAGCTATATAAGTGGATGCACAGTGCGTATCGATCAGTTCGAGTTCGAGTTCCAGTGTGGCTACCGCCGAAGACATTCCGAGTTATAAAGTAACAGCCAGCCGACTACAAGTTGGAGTATAGCAGCCGTCGCGG